CCACGGTGTTGCTTTTAAATGTCCCGCCAAAAGCCAAAGATATTAACTTTGATGGGATGTATAAAGAAATAAGGAGGAGACCCCAGTATCTGAGAGGCTGGACAGATCATTTCATGACATCAAAAATGCAGATTAATTGATTCTCCCCTAACCCTTGACTAATCCAATGTTGACATGGAAGTAAGTCACCATGCTTCTGACCACAGGAACTGCAGATGGAAAGCTCAATCTTGCATAAACCATAATGTAGTTGTATGCATGGTCCTTGTTTAGGACACCAAAGAACTGACACAGACGGACCCCCGACTGTTCTGTCGCCTCGCGTCTCCTGCGTCTTGGCCAGCACTGGAACACACCGCAAAGACTTCAGCCGACGGCCAAGAAGCACGTACGAACTGCGCATGCGTGAGTGGCAATAACTCTCCTTACCAGCAGGCGGCGGTAGTGTGTATTCGTCATTCAAAAGAGGCAACAACCGGAAGACGGGGTGTTTCTCAATGTGGAGTACGCTTGCTTGGTAGCACATGTCTGCCGAGCATCTTGCTTCAGAAGCGAGTCAAGAATACTTCCTGGCATTCGGAAAACGAAGTGTGGAACACGCTAGCAAGTGTGCAGGTGTGCGTCATATGAGAGGCCCCGCCTCTTACATCTTCCGCCACAGATTTGGGGAAATTGGTCCGTGCGCAAAGCATTGTGGGGATTTTAAGACCGCGGAGTCTACTCATGTGCAGCCTCGATATTTCTCCAAACGGAGTACGCCGGGCTCGGTAGATTTCCAAGTATGCTGGAGATTGGAACAGTATTTCGGCGGCACTCGATGACGTAGTATGCTTGAAATAGTGGCTCTGGAGCAGCTTTACTTGCGATTGAGAAACACCCACAGATTGCGTGATACACCGAGAGAAGAAGAACAGACTGCGTGATATAAACAAACAACAAATAGCGTGTGCGTTCCATTTTCACTCTACAGCGAGAAGCTCATGGGGCTTTCCCGAACCTGTGTCGAGAACTGGAGTTAAATGAAATCTCAGATGTGCCTTCTTAATAGTTTGTTTCGGTCCCTCACTTCCGTTTCACTTCTCACGCACTGATTCGCTAAGCTAAACAGCCAATCAGAGTGATTTCTTTTGCTGACAGCCTTTGGCCGACTGCGTAGGTTTTCGGCCGAAAAGGTGTCGGCACGGCTGAAAAGACACGACAGTGCGGGACACACCAATCTGAGTAGGGCGTGTCGACGCTCATCGTCGGCCAAAATCGGCTTGGTGTGTCCGGGCCTTTAAGCGATGAATTGTAATCCAGAAAAAAGCAAAAAATTTCTATTTCAGTTTCTTAAAGTCCAAGGTGATGTTTTTAAATATCTAGTTGAGTCAGTCCAAATGCCAAAGATATAACTTTAATGGGATGTATAAAGAAAAAAGGGGGAAACCCCTGTATTTGAGAGGCTGCATGTTTGCAATAAACAATTTCTAATAATCAATTCTCCAAGTAGTCAGTTATTATTTGTCTTAAGCGATGAATGGTAATCCATAAAATATCAGATAATAGGGAAATATGTGCATCTCCGTTTCTTAAAGTCCAACGTGGTGTCTTCAAATATCTAGAAAGATATTCCCTTTGATGATACAAAACAGAAAAGCACCACAATTTAAGATCAGTTTCTTATATTTTCGCATTTAAAAAATACCTGAAATATGTTTTTCTGTCAACACACTAATTGTTAAGTTGACTAATCGTAGCAGCTCTAATGTTGACATATCTATAAGACACAATTTTTCTAACCTCATGTTACATATAGGTGCATTTAAAGTGTGCAGAGCCGATTTAAACACTCGTACACAACACCTGAGAGGATAATCGGTCTGCACGATTTCAGAAAACGACAAGTAACGAATCCATCCAGATCCTACCGTAACACACATTCAACCGTTTAACAAATATTGTGCGTCCTGCGATTTGAAAACCACACATTTAAATGAAATGTTAACGCATAGTGGAACATGTTAAAATCCAAGCGAGGTGTCTGCTCCTGTTAATGTGCAAAGGGAGTCCTCAGGTGGATCCAAGATGACTGGTTGTGTTGCAGATAATAAAAGCTGCAGCGTGGCACACACACACACACACCGACACACACACACCGACACACACACACCGACAGTTAAAAAAGGCACCGGCAGACACGTTCTCTCTCTCCATCTGGGTCAGTAAAAAACTCACAGCTCTGCATCACATCCTGCAAAGTGCAGGAGGAGTGAATGCAGCTCAGAGGCAGAGAACAGACTGTCCTGCAAGGGCAGAACATTTCAGAGAAGAAGAAGAAACAGAATCGCTTCAAGCCACATATCAATAGGCAGAAGGGGCACACACACACACACACACACACACACACACACACACGCACTGCAAACACACTGCACACACACACACACCTCGCTTAAAATAGACTCCTTTTATGCTATGAACATCATGCCTAAATGTCACAGCATGCACACACACACACACA